GAGGAGGGGCCTGGACAGGGGCTGGGAGGGGCTGGGGGGACCTGGGCGGGGCTGGGTTTTAGGAGGGCAGAGGGGCTGGGGGGCTGGGAGGGATTGGGGGGTTTAGGAGGGCAGAGGGGCCTGGCCAGGGGCTGGGAGGCTGGGAGGGGCTGGGGGGCTGGGAGAGGCGGGGGGCAGGTGGGGAGAGGAAGGGGAGGTGCTGGTGGCCCTGGAGGCCTGGCTGTGTGGCTGGACCTAGTTGGGGAGCAGGAAGCTGCTGCCTGGGGGCAGCCTCTCCCCATGGGTGGAGCTGGGTGTGTGGGACCCTCACCCTCTGCAGCTGGGAGGCTCTGGGGGCACAGGACAGGGAGGTGCCGGTGGGGGGTGTAGATGTGGGAGAAGGGTGTGTGGCCTTGGAGGCCCCTGTGGAGGGCACGTGGGGCTGGGCAGGGCCCTTGGCTGCTACTGGCCTGGTGTCTGTGGGAGACGCTGCCTGAGGCTGGCCAGCGCGGACCCTGTCATTCCCACTGCATCTCCCGGGTCCCAGGGCGTTTCTGGCCCGAGCAACACACGCTGCCCCCCACAGCTGCACCTTGGCCGGGAAGCACACCCTGCAGCCAGCCAGCAATAGCTCGGACGCCATCTGCGAGGACAGGGACCCCACACCCACACAGCCCCAGGAGACCCAGGGCCCCCCGGCCAGGCCCACCACTGTCCAGCCCACTGAAGCCTGGCCCAGAACCTCACAGAGACCCTCCACCCGGCCCGTGGGGGTCCCCAGGGGTAAGGGTGCCTGGCCCAGCCCAGCAGGGCCCCCAACCCAAATAGGAGGAGGGGAGGGCAGCATGGGGGCCCTCCTGTGGACTCCACCCAGCAGACCCCTTCCTGCAGGCCCTGCGGTTGCTGCCATCCTGGGCCTGGGCCTGGCGCTGGGGCTGCTGGGCCCCCTGGCCATGCTGCTGGCCCTGCTCCTGCTCCGGAGGGACCAGAGGCTGCCCCCCGATGCCCCCAAAGCCCCTGGTGAGTGCCTCGTGGCCCTGCCCCACTGCTCCCACGCGTGAGGCCCACCCACCAATCTCTCCTTTTCTCCTCCCCAGGGGGAGGCAGTTTCCGGACCCCCATCCAAGAGGAGCAGGCTGACGCGCACTCCACCCTGGCCAAGATCTGAGCCGGGACCGCCAAGGTGGACGCTGGGCCCCGCCAGGCTGGAGCCCGGAGGTCTGCTGGGCGAGCAGGGCAGGCGCAGGCCGCCCACCCCGCCACGCTCCTGGGCCACTCTGCGCCGTTCTAGGTGCCGCTGGCTGCCTCCGGCTCTCTGCTTACGTATGCCATGCATACCTCCTGCCTCGCGGGGCCACAATAAAAACCTTGGCAGACGGGAGTCTCCCGCTGGCACTGTGGGCTGCGCACCTGTGGCAGGGACGCTTGGGCCGTGCCCGCCTCTGGCTGGAGAAGGGTCTTGGGCCAGGGTGGAGGTAGCAGGTAGTGGGGTCAAGTGGGACCCTGGAGGTTGGTCCCTGGGTGCAAGTTCTAGATTGAGTGGGGAGCCGGGGGAGTGACTGGGAAGGCTCAGGTCCAGGGCCGCCTGGCGTGGGGGTTACTGGCCAGCTGTTGACAAGGGTCGCCCTGAGCCCCGGGTCACCCAAGGAGCTTGGAAGCGGCTGAACCCTGGGCCTCTGTGTCCTTGAAGGAAGAGTGTAGAGACCTGCCCCTCTTCCCCTCCACACCTGCGCCCACCCCTGCTGCAGCTGGGAGGGGGTCCCAGGGCCCCTGAACACCCAGAGGAGCCCCTGCAAGGGCCCCTATATCCCTGCCATGGGTGTCCAGGGGGACAATCACCTTGGAAACCATGGTTTCTGCTTGAGCCAAACTTCTGTCTGCCCTGAGGCCCGGCTATGCCATTCCTGTGCACTTACCCCACCACCAAGAGGCCTGGGATCTGCACGAGAATGTCCACAGCGTACACCTCACGTAACGTGGCCCCACAGTGGAGAATGTCCACAGCGTACACCTCACGTAACGTGGCCCCACAGTGGAGAATGTCCACAGCGACCTCACGTAACGTGGCCCCACAGTGGAGAAACCCAGGCGTCCGCCAGCAGCGTGGATGCATGAGTGCTGGTGTGTTCAGATGAGCTCCCAGCTCCCCAGCCCACACCACAGGTGTCCAAAGAAGGTCCCGAGGACCCGCAGCCACCCCTGGCCACGTGGGAATCCTCTGAGCCGGTGTCTGGGAGTGGGGTGTCCTCCGAGCCGGTGTCTGGGAGTGGGGTGTCCTTCAAGCAGCACATGGGAGTGGGGTGTCCTCCGAGCTGGTGTCTGGGAGTGGGGTGTCTCTACAAGCCGGTGTCTGGGAGTGGGGTGTCCTCTGAGCTGGTGTCTAGGAATGGGTGTCCTCTAAGCCCGGTGTCTGGGAGTGGGGTGTCCTCTGAGCTGGTGTCTGGGAGTGGGGTGTCCTCCGAGCTGGTGTCTGGGAGTGGGGTGTCCTCTAAGCCGGTGTCTGGGAGTGGGGTGTCCTCTGAAGCGCTGGTGTCACAGGAGTGGGGTGTCCTCTGGCCGGTGTCTGGGAGTGGGTGTCCTCCCGGGCTGGTGTCACCCAGGAGTGGGGTGTCCTCCGGCAGCACGGCGGGTGTCTGGGAGTGGGGTGTCCTCCGAGCAGCACAGCGGCTGCTCCCCTGAGGCCACAGCTCGGGAACAAGGCAGGAGTGGCCCTGCAGGCCTCCCACACAGAAGACACCCCGGGCGTCCGAGCGACGTCTGTGTCCCTCGGGAGGTGGAGGTGCCTGTTTGCCTCCGTTGTGCGTAACGGCTGTCAGGGGCAGAAGTGAGTGAAATCCTCCCGAGGGCTAAGCGGTCTCACTCCACATTTTTTTTTTGCCAGAGTCTCGCTCTGTCTCCAGGCTGGAGTGCAGTGGCATGATCTCGGCTCACTGTAAGCTCCGCCTCCCGAGTTCAAGCAATTCTCCTGCCTCAGCCTCCCGAGTAGCTGGGACTACAGGCGCCGCCACCATGCCCGGCTGATGTTTGTATTTTATTAGAAACAGGGTTTCACCATGTTGGCTAAGTTGGTCTTGAACTCCTGACCTCAGGTGATACACCTGCCTCAGCCCCCTAGAGTGCTGGGATTCCAGGTGTGAGCCACCACGCCCGGCCCTCACTGCACTCATGAATGAGAAACATGGCCGAGGCTGGGCACAGTGGTTCAGGCCTAGAATCCCAGCACTTTGGGAGGCTGAGGCAAGAGGCTCAAGAGTCTGAGACCTGCCTGGGTAACATGGCAAGACCCTTTCTCTATGAAAAAACAGAAAAAATCAGCCAGGTGGACCATGCCTGTGGTCCCGGCTACTTGGGAGGCCAAGTTGGGAGGATCACTTGAGCCCAAGAGGTCGAGGCTGTAGTGAGATGTGACTGAACAAATAATAATAATAAAATGAAATTTAAAAAATTAATTAAGAAGAAACACATGAAGCCTCAGGGAAGGTTTTGCTGAGGGCTTGGCACAGCCTGGACGCTCCGGCCGCCGTGGCTGGTGTGGTCCAGCCCTGCAGCTGCACCTACTGCTGCACACGGCGTCCCCGGCCAGCTTTCCCTCTCTCTGCGTCCTCCATCAGCACGCGATCGCTGCCCACGGCTGTCCAGGACCCCTGTGCCTGGCGGGCGGCTCCCCTCTCCGCCGATGTTGTGGAAGTGGGGAGCCGCCTCGGGGGTGCACAATGGGAATGCCACGCACCGCTCACAGCAGCCCAAGGTGCCGGGACCACAGCGGGCTGTAAGGGAGACGCCCATCTCTGGCCTTGGGCTGCCCCAGACCCCTCCTGCCTCTGCGGCTGGTTTTCTCCTCGTTTCTCTCTCCTCAAACCTCCGTCTTCCACCCACTCTCTGCCAACCACAAGCCTGCTGCACAGGGAAGTCAGAGGCCATCCTGTCCCCCACCCAGCACCTTCACTGAGTTCCCCGGGTTCCTGCACAGGGTTCGACCTGCAGGCCCTGCACGGGGTTGGGGCCGTGCCTCTGAGAGCCCCCGGGCCCCCGCCCCGTGGGGCAGGCGAGGCTAGGCCTGCAGGCAGGATGGCGGGTGGGTGGGGGAAGGGGTCCGGTGGCCAGGACTGGAGCGGCCAGATCCCATGGGGCTGGCAGGTCGAAGGCTGTGGGAAAGGGGCCTCTTCCCCAAACCTGGCACCCACACCCATCGCTTCCTGTTTCCTCTCCTCTGGGCACAGCACCCCCCAGGCCCTGTGGGACTTATTCCCCAGCCAGGACCCCCTGCTGCACCAAGGGGCCACCTCCTCTTGGTCTCTGTGCTCACCCCCCCCACCCCCTCACCTGACACCATCTCTGCTGGCAACTCCTGTGCCATCTGTGCCCCAGGCTCTGCCTGAGCTCTGGCCCAGTGCCCATCTGCACCCTCCCCCTGGGGCCTCACAGTTGCCCTTCTGGATGCACGCAAGGGCTGCCCCTCGCCTGGCAGCCGCCCTCGCCCGGCCACCCTGTGGGCTGCTCTCCTGCGTGAATGCCCCGTCGTTTGTGTCATTGGCGAGGTGCTCACAAAATACCAGAAAATAAGATGAACAAAATCACCTCCAGCCTCGCAGCCCAAGGACGGAAGTCATGGGGAACCAGTGAGGGGCCTTCTGCAGCGAGAGGGACGGGAAGCAGACATTGCACCCCTGGCAGCTCCTCCTGGGACCACTGTGTGGGGAGCTGCTTGGGCTGCGCCACGGGGCGGGGGGTCCTCTGCCCGCTGGCCGCCTCCCACTTGGCCCATAAACTGCTCGCCCTTCTTTTTTTTTGGAGATGGAGTCTCCCTCTGTCGCCCAGGCTGGAGTGCAGTGGTGCGATCTCCACTCACTGCAAGCTCCACCTCCCGGGTTCACGCCATTCTCCTGCCTCAGCCTCCCGTGTGGCTGGGACTACAGGCGCCCGCCACCGCGCCCGGCTAATTTTTGTATTTTTTAGTAGAGACGGGGTTTCACCGTGTTAGTCAGGATGGTCTTGATCTCCTGACCTCGTGATCCGCCCATCTCAGCCTCCCAAAGTGCTGGGATTACAGGCGTGAGCCACCGCACCCGGCCAAACTGCTTGCCCTTCTAACTCTGTCCCTGCCTCTAGAAGGAGGACTCGCACTGTGTGGTTGATGAACATTTATTTAATTTTTTGGGACTGATGAGCGTTATTTACAGGGGATGCATTGTGTCTTCTCGGGCTGCCATCTACCGGCACTCGCCAGGATTGGGGGTGAGCCCAAGCTCGTGCAGACCTCCCGGGGTTTTGAAACGGGCAGGGGTGCAGCCCAGCCTGCCCGGGGTCTCCTCCCTGAGCACCTTCGCCTGGCGTCTGGGTCTGACGGCACCTCTTTCTATCCAGGGGCCCAGAGCCCCTCCCAGGCTAGGGGCGGAATGAAGATCTCCAGGCCCCTCAAAGGCCCCCAGGCCCAGCTGGCCCCACCCCCTCCGTCTGAGTGTCCGAGCAGCCTGGAGCCTCAGAGACCCCTTCCTTTTCTGCAGCGTCTGAAGACGGCCTCTCCAAGGCAGGCTCCTCCATCTTGGATCTGAGAACTCCGGGGTGTCACAAACAGCTAATTCCCGTCATTCACCCTGGGAAAGGAGGAACCGCCTTCTGGGGTGAGGTGGTGGCTGCAGGTCTCAAAGGGGTGTCTAACCACATCCAGCCGTGGGCACAGCCGCGCTCAAGTTCCCGAGCCCCCGCCTCCATCTCCACTGTGCTGGACGGCACCGAAGCAGGGCTGGGCAATCCAGGGAGGCTTCCTGGTGGAGGCAGGGTCCCAGAACCCTGCAGTGCCCACAGGGGAAACTGAGGCTCAGAGAGACATAGGACGGCCTCCCAAGAGCTCTGTGAGGGGCTCCCCCTCAACGCCCGGCAGGACCCGGATCTGTCTGGTGCGATGGATGAAGATGGCTCCAGAGAGATCTGCATGGGAACCCGCCTGAGACACGGCAGACCCAGCAGGTCGCTCTGCCCTGGGCCTTGGGTGCCCTTGGAGGCAGCTGACACTGACCCGAGGAGGCACCACGCACCCTCTCGTCTCCCCACCAGCTCCTCCTGGTGCCCCTCCCAAGCCCTGGGGAGCTTCCTGGGTTGGCAGCTGAGGGGGGTCCTGGGGAGCTGTAAGCAAGGGGGAGGGGAGGGAGCCCACAGGCCTGCAGCCCATGGTGAGTTTCACACCCAGAGCCGGCCAGGTGGGGCACGCTAAGCTGAGGGGCCCCGTCCCCATTCTGTGGGGTTCCCCAGCGCTGGGCTCCGTGGCTGAGGCTCTCTGGGGGTGGCCAGGGTTTGTGGAGACCTCTCGGGGTCTCAGAGACACCACCCAGAGGCGGTGGGATGGAGAGGGTGTGGCTGAGTCGCACTCTCCAAGTAGCCCCCATGGACAAGCTGCTGAACGCCGCTCCCCGCTCCCCGCCCCCCGCACTGGGGCCCGCCAGGCTGGCCGCAGACTTTGCACAGAAAACCTTTTTGATCCCTGCCAGCCCGGTTTCCCCGCCCCTGCCGGCGACTTGCTGCGATCGGGCTGTGTCTGCAGCGTCCACACCCCCTCCTCACACGCATCTCGCCCGGCGGAACTCTCGGGTCAGGCACAGTCCCAGTCACCTCCGGGCAGGGCGGGTGAGGACGGGAACGGGCGTGTCCAACTTGCCGTGGCGTCCTGAGACCCAAGCGTGGCACGGCACGGGGCACGGCACGGGGCGATGTGTGCGTGCGGGACCCTGTGCTGCCTGGCGCTGCTGTGTGTGGCCAGCCTGGGTCAGCACCCCACCGGGGGTCCCGGGTGCGGCCCTGGGCGCCTCCTGCTCGGGACGGGAACGGACGCACGCTGCTGCCGCGTTCACCCAACGCGCTGCTGCGGCGATTACCCGGGTAAGTAAACCGTGTTTACTTAACGCGGACCGGCCAAGGCGCGGCGCGGGAGCCGGGATGGGCGGGCGCCCCCTTCCCGTGCTCAGACCGGCGCCGCTGAGGTCTAAGGAGGGTGGGCACAGGGCCGCCAGCGGCCAGAGCCTTCCGGAGGAAGGCAGGATCCCAGAGAGGTGGAGGCGTGCCAGCTCCAGCCAGTGGTCTCTGCGGCAAGGAGCAGGGGCGAGCCGGGTGGGAGCGCCCTCAAGGGGGGTCTGGGGTCCCAAGGTGGAGGAGGGCTATTCCAGGTCCTGCTGGGTGGGTCGTGAACCCTCGGCCATCGCCCAGCTCCCCCTGCACCGCCGTCTGGCCTGCTGCCTGCCTCTGGCCTGCACCTGGGGGTAAGGATTCAGCGGACACGGCCGGCCTGGAGAGGAAGCTGGCAAGGAGTCACCTCAGAGCTTCTTCCTCCAGGGTTGGAAAGGGAGGCTCTGTCCAGAGACCCAGTGTGGCTGGTGGGGACAGCAGCGCCTGGAGACCAGGCAGGCAGCCTCTGAGGTGTCCACCGGCCTCCAGGGGGCTTTGCACTGTTAGGGACCATCCCTGGCTCCCGCGGGGCAGCCCCTGGTGGCATGTGCAGTCAGCACCTGGGCAGAGGCAGCTGTGGGGCACAAAGGGGGAGCAGCCCCAGGCCACACAGTCCCAGGAGAGAGAGACACCTGGACAAACTCCCGGCCAGGAGCCCTCTGCTCCCTGGAGCCGACTGTGGGTGGGGAACGGACAACCCCGCTCCCCTGGAGGGCCGAGGAGGGGCCTCAGCCCAGCTGCTGGGGGCCTGGCTTGTCTCCCGCCCAGGCGAGGAGTGCTGTTCCGAGTGGGACTGCGTGTGTGTCCAGCCTGAATTCCACTGCGGAGACCCTTGCTGCAGGACCTGCCGGCACCACCCTTGCCCCTCAGGCCAGGGGGTGCAGCCCCAGGGTAAGTCCTGGAGGTGCCTGTGAGCGTCCACACAGGCCAGGGGGTCCACTAGGGCCTGAGGCAGAACTCGTGGGCGCAGGTGTCCGGCATGTGTGGTGTGTGGGGTCCTGGGTCCTGTGAGGCTGGGCAGCCCAGGCCATGCTTAGGCACCACGGGCCATGCAACTCCGGGAGTGTCCTGTCCCCCCTTTCTCGGCCTGGGCTTTTCCATCCAGCTCGAGGACTGTGAGAACCCTGCGGGGGGTGGGGAGCTGTCTGGCTCTCAAGCCTGGGACACCCATCCTGTCTGTCCTCAGCGAATACTGAGCGAGCCTGCCCTGTGCCCCCACCCCGACCCCAGTCCTGTCTGGGCCCTGGGGCTACACCTCTTCCTGGAAGGAGCAGCTCAAGTTCTCTAAGCGGCTTGTTTACCTGATGGGAGGGGCCAGGCTGGGCACATGGGGGCTGTGAGGAGGCAGAACTGGGGAGGTTGTGTGAGGTTGGACAGGGCAGGGTCTGGGGTCAGCTGGGACCCAGCCTCACTCTTTCTGGGACCCTCTGTTCTACTGAGTCCTGCCCGCCCTCAGCCCCCAGTGGGCAGGCCCAGTGCACTCTGCGCTCCTCCCCCAGGTGCCCTCCCCAGACACCCCATCTGGGATGGGCAGACGTGGGCACTGACATCCAGGGCCCCAGTCCTGGGCCATCAAGAACTCTGTTGAATGGATGATGGGGGGGGGGGGGGGGCATTTGACTCAGCAGCCAGACCCCAGATGGACCCCTGCACTGATCTGACTCCATCCTCATCCATCCCAGCAACTCCAGCAGCTTCCCTCCCTCCTTCCTTCCCCAATCCCCCGACCCCGCACCAGGGAAATTCAGTTTTGGCTTCAGGTGTGTCGACTGTGCCTTGGGGACCTTCTCCAGGGGCCACGACGGCCACTGCAAACCTTGGACAGAGTGAGTCCTGGGTAGGCCCTGCCGGCGGCTGGGTGGTCCAGGCTCACTTTGAGGAAGGGTCCTCTCCTGTCCCTTGCACTGTGGCGAGCCCCAGACAGCGCCAAGGACAGCAGCCGGGGGCTGACTGGGGGCTGTGTCCGCATATTCCAGCTGCACCCAGTTTGGGTTTCTCACCGTGTTCCCTGGAAACAAGACCCACAACGCCGTGTGCGTCCCAGGGTCCCCGCTGGCAGAGCCGCCTGGGTGGCTGACCATCGTCCTCCTGGCTGTGGCTGCCTGCGTCCTCCTCCTGACCTCGGCCCAGCTTGGACTGCACATCTGGCAGCTGAGGAGTCAGCCCATGGGGCCCCGAGGTCAGTCACAGCCTGGTGGGGGGAGGTGGGGGCCTGGCTGCCCGCTGACCGTGGCCCCTCTGCAGAGACCCGGCTGCTGCTGGAGGTGCCGCCGTCGACCGAAGACGCCAGCAGCTGCCAGTTCCCTGAGGAGGAGCGGGGCGAGCGGCTGGCAGAGGAGAAGGGGCAGCTGGGAGACCTGTGGGTGTGAACCTGGCCATCCTCCGGGGCCACCGACTGCAGCCAGCCCCTCCCTAGGAGCTCCCCGGGCTCCAAATTGTGCTCTGGGCTGGGCCCTGCTCCCCTGGCAGCAGAAGTGGGTGCAGGAAGGTGGCAGTGAGCAGCGCCCTGGACCGTGCAGGTCGGCGGCCACAGCTGAGCCCTGCAGGAGAGAGAGAGAGACACAGCCATGGCCCCCTTCCACCCTTACGGCCCTGCGGGGGTGGGGTCTTAGGACGGGAGGCTGTGCCCGAGGATGTGCAGTGCCCAGGACGGGACCCGGCTGCTTGGGTCCTTCAATAAACACTTGTCCAGCGACCTGAGTGGACGCATGCTGGGTGCTGGGGGAGGACGGGGCGCCTGGGGCTGGGCTTTGGGGCACCGTGCCCATGCCTGGCCATGGTCCCCTCCACAGGGGGCAAAGGGGAGGGCAGCCAGGGCCCATTCCAGGAACTCCTGGCCGGGTGGGGGTGGGGCCCGAGGAGGGGCCATTCCAGTCCTAGGCCCAGTGATCCTCAGCCATACAGGTTCAGCGGCTTCCCCAGTTCGGGGCTCTTCTCTGGTGCCCCTGGGTCTCTGGTTTCTGGCCACACAGCCTGCCGGCCCCTGGGTGCCCAGAGCCCAGGACTCACATCCAGCACTTTCCGGTGGTGGGGGCCCCGTCTCCAGGCCAGCCCTCTCTCCTCACCACCCCACCCTTGGCCTGCCCAGCCTTCTGCTCCAGGTGAGATCTGATACCAGCTCGATCTGCTACCGGGGAGCGGCGGGCAGGCCGGTGCAGGCTCCTCAGCAGCATCCAGGAGGCACCGCACACCTGCCCCAGCTCAACTCCCAGTGGGCGGCGGGCCCAGCTCACAGTAGGTGGATGGGGCAGAGGCGGCATCAGCACCCACCCCACATGGGACCCAGAGTGTGGAGAGCCCAAGGGTGGCACCGGGACACCGGGGAAGGTGCCCAGCCCTGGAAGCACGACCTGGCCTTTCGGCGCTGTGGCGTACTGGGCTCGGGGCTGGGTCCTGGGCTCTGGGCTGGGCACTGGGCTCGGGGCTGGGTTCTGGGCTCGGGGCTGGGTCCTGGAAACTGGCTCGGGGCTGGGTCCTGGGCTCGGGGCTGGGCACTGGGCTCGGGGCTGGGTCCTGGAAACTGACTCGGGGCTGGGTCCTGGGCTCGGGGCTGGGTCCTGGAAACTGGCTCGGGGCTGGGTCCTGGGCACTGGGCACTGGGCTCGGTGCGCTCCTCCCGTGCGAGCCCCGGGGCGGCTGAGCGGTCGGGCCCTGCCCCGCGCACTCCTGCCTGCAGCCCGGGTTCCCCCCGCGCGGCCCCGGCTCCCCTCACGCGTCCCCCACACCGGGGCTGTCCCGCACCTTCCCCAGAAAACACCGGCGGCCCGCGCAGTGCGGGTCCCGCGGGGCTGACTCAGCGCGGAAACTCCTCGTGGGCGGCTTCGCGTGGGCCTCGGCGCGGAAACGTCAGCGCGGGGGCGGCGGGGCTGACGCACAGCGGCGGGCGGGGGATTCCGCGGGCTGCGGGGCGGGCTCGGGGCGGGGTCTCCGGGGTCTCCGGCTCTTCCCGGGCCCGCCACGAGCTTCACCTGGAGCGCGAACCTCCGGGCCGGGGGGGGGGGCCCAGCGCGCGTCGCGGAGCCCGGGGGAGGCGGGGGGGACTCGCGCGTGGGGGCGGGTGCGCCTCCGGGGGTCTCGGGGGGAGGCCGAAGAGGGGGTCCCGGGGCGCGGAGGGCCGGGCGGGGCCGGGTGCAGAGAAGGGGCCGGGTGCGCCGCGGAGAGCCCGCCGCCCCCTCCCACTCGGGGCGCAGTGATCTCGGCTCCCCGGGGAGGGGAGGCCCCCCTGCTCCCCCTGCTCCCCCTGCTCCCCCTGCTCCCCCTGGAAGCCCGACCCACTGGCACAGCGCGGCCTCCCTCCGCCCGGAAAACCGCGGCCGCCCCAGCCTCCCGCTGGCGTCGGACTTTTGAGAAAAGGGCCTGAGGCCACCTCTGTTCCCAGAAGCGCTTCCGGCCTCCGCGGGGCCTCCCCCCCAGCCAGCCCCCTCCCCACCCTCCACCAAGAGCTGGACTCGGCCGAGCCCCGCAGCTGACAGGGACACCTGTGGCGGGAGCCCCTTCCCACCCGGACAGAGCTGGACACAGCCTTTCCCAGCCCCAGGACAGGTGGGGGGTCCTTGAGGGACAGGTGGCCCCCGGCTGCCCCAGCTGCTGAGGTCTGTGGTCTGACCAGGACCTGGGTCGTCACCGCTGTCCCCTCCGATGCTGGGGAAGCTCTGAGGACAGCACAGGAGAGGACTCGCTCCTCTTGGCCAGTGACCCTCATGGGAGGCCGCGGCGCCTGGTGTCGGGGAGGTAGCAGACCCCCGCCTCCCGCACATCTCATCTTCCCGGAAACTCGAGGAATTGGGGGTCTTTCTGGAGTTGGCAATTCGGTTGTCCTGGTCCCGGTCTTAAAGACACACCCAGGGGAGAGGGGCTGGAGGGGGCGGGGGCACAGGGGCCCCATGGACACGCAGGCCTCAAGTCCTCCAGGGTCCGAGGTCTCTTCAGCTGAAACAGACACGCAGGCCCACTGGCCCTCAGCTGACCCCAGGCTCTGGCTGCTGGTGAGGGTCTGTGCTGGCCAGGCCCCACGATGGAGGCTGTGGGGATGGAGGGTGTGTGGCTGTGCTTGGGGGCACTGAATGGGGGCAGCTGACTCCCCCACGCCTTCCCCTTGAGTCCCCTACCTGGCAGCAGTACCCAGGACTCACCTGTGGAAGAGAGAGGGAGAGGGGGGATGTGGGGGGCGTCTGCTGTCAGGAGCCTCTACCTTGGATCCCAGGCTCCAGCTTGGCGGTGTCTCCGGGAAGCGCCCCAGCCCTGCCTGAACTCCTCATGTCCGGGAGGGGTTCTGAGGCCTTTTCTGTGGCCCCTGGCTGGTCACTTCACTTGAATATTGGGGAGCACCTTGTACTGCCAGATACTCAGGCACCCACAGTCCCCCTCTCCCTGGTGATCCGTGCCGTTCTGGCCTCGCAGATGAGCGCTTATGGGCTGGGTGGTGGGGGTGTGGCCGTTGCTCCTGGGTTCTCTGGAAACCTTGTTTATTCATTGACTTTCGGGCTCTTTGGGGCACCAAGGACTCCTGAGCAGCATCTGGATCCTCAGTTTAGGCCTTTGGGGGACCTTGGGTTGTGGGGGTTGGGGCTCGGTCAGGACAGGGCAGGCCACTGCCAACGTGCACCCTTCTCGTGGGTTCTGGTGGTGACACATCCAATCAGGGCCCAGGGACGACAAAGGCTCCGTTGTCCCCTCGGGCTCTGGTGACCTCTGCTGACATCTTGGGGCCCCTGAGCCTGGGGGTGTAACCCCACCCACCACAGGGAGGGGAGCTGGACAGTTCCAGTGTCACCAGGGGACGTAGTCGTGACCTGGGATCGTGGCACGACACAGCACCAGGCATGTGGGGCAGATCCAGGGGCAGAGGCTGGAGGGCACAGAGGCCCCAGGGACATCAGGGTAGCAAGAGCAGAGGGCAGCGTCGGGAGGACCCCGAAGTGATGTGGCCATGTAGTGGCCTTGGAAGCCGGCAGGCAATGTGGCCCTGACCCCTAAGAGCAGGTATGGACTTACCAAGTCCTGGGTGCTTGACCAGCCATGGAAGCTTCACCCCTCCCAGGCCCCTCCTGCTTCACCCCTCCCCAGCCTCGGTGGGCTGCAGAGCAGGCTGCTGCTGCCCTTGGCCCCCTAGAGGGTCCAGCAGACCTGCTGGGAGGAGACTGGGGGCCCCATCACAATGCCAGGTGTGTGCCCAGTCTCTCACCTGGGAACCCCCGCTCCAGGCCCCAGCGGCAGGACCATGTTGGTGGGGGCTGCCCACTGGCTCTGAGACCTGAGACCTCTTTGGCCTCTGTGGGCCCCAGTTTCCTCTGTCCCGCCTTCTCCTCTCCCTGGCACCCTGGCTGTGCCCCACCTGCTGTGCTGGCTAGAGACCACAGCCGACGATGCATTCTAGTGGTGCCTGGGCTGCCGAATCCCAGGGAATGGAGCTGCCATTCCCGTGGAGCGCAGGGCGGCCGCGGGGCCAAGGCTGACTCTGCTGGCCCCTCGGTCCCCCATGGCTGCTGTGCAGCGCAGGAGGAGGAACCGGCGACTCGGCCGTGACCCTGTGGAGTTGGGGGCAGGGCATGCAGGGGGTGGGCCTGGAGGAGGGACCCCCAATCCTCAGGTCTTGACTTGGGGGGCATAGGGGACTTGAGCCAGCCATTGGGAGAGGCCTGTATACTTTAGCTCTCTGGGTGGGAGGTGGCTGAGGGGGTGGGTAGGGTGGACACCTCAGAGGCCCTGGGCTGCCAGAGCTCTCCTCGCAAACCCCCAAGCCCACAGGGAATAGAACCATTGACAGCCACACAGGGCTGACTGGCGCCTGGCCAGTGTGGACTCAGCATGTCTTCTGTGGGACCCTCACCCCTGGCTAAGTCCTGGGGCCACTGTAGGAAGGTTGGGGGCTCGTGGAGCTGGAGCGCCAGGCCTGGGACTTGAAGGCCCAGGAAGGTTCTGTGCTGGGCGGGCTAGGGCGAGCCCTGTGGGTGCCCACAGCAGCAATCCTGGGCTCAAGGGGGGTCCTCCTTTGGAGCTCCAGCAGGGTTCAGAGGGGCCCATGGGGTCCAGACCCTTCCTGGGGACACCAGGCAATGGTGGATCGCAGGCCAGGCCGTGGGGGCCGTGGGGTCACAGGGCTGCAGGAGGGTCCTGGTGCTGAGGGGCTCAGGGTGATGGGCGGGAGCCCAGGATGGGGCAGCCCGGGAGGGAGCATAGGCCAGCTGTGGGGACCCCCTCCCTCAGGACAGCCCCCCAGGACTGGGCCCCGCCGTGGAGACCCCCCTCCCTCAGCACAGTCTCCTCAGGGACAGGGCCCCGCCGTGGAGTAGGGGCTACTGGGGCCTGGGGGCAGGGCCTGGGGGCTGGGGAAGTCCCAGGGGGGCATCTTTCAGGCCAGTGCCGGCGTGGTGGGGGGCGACCCCGGTGGGCATGGGCTCGGGGCGCTGAGGTGGCAGGACTGCTGCAGAGACTGTTTGTAACAAAGTAGCCTTTATAGGTCCCTGAAGGCGGGCAGTGTGGCTGGGGCGTGGGGTGTGGGGCGTGGGTGGCCACCCCTAGGGCCTCGCGTTCTCAGGCTCCTTGCGTTCCTCCTTGGCTGTCCCCAGGGAAGGCTCTTGCTCCAGGTGCCTGTCGCCTGTGCCCGACTGCTCCTTGCCCGGGGCCTGGGGCTGCCCGTCGTGGGCGCTGTCCGGGTCAGGGCTGGGGCCCGGCAGCTGGGGACGCTGCAGTGCCAAGGGAGGTGGCACAGGCCTGCGGGCGCCCGGCTGGTCTGGGGCACGCGGTGTGGGTGGCCCGGAGGACTTGGCCTGGCGGGTGGGCGGAGGCAGCCGGCGGCGGAGGCTGCAGGAGCCCCCCAGGCGCGGCCACACGTCGGCCTCTCCGTTGTGCAGGAGCACGAAGCGACGCTGGGACAGCAGAGGCAGCATCTTCTGGCCGCGCAGGCTCTTCTGGAAGGTCTCCAGTGCCAGGTCTGGTGCAGGTGGGGGAGAGGGGGTAAGTGGGGGGCAGAGGCTGGCACTGGGAGGAGCAGGAGGGGCGGGGAGGGTGTGAGGGGTGGGACTCAGGTGGGCTGAGGTGTGGGGAAGGTGGGGGCGGGGCGGCGCTGCCACAGAGGAGGTGGAATAGCCCCATCTGTGGGGTCTGAACTTGGGAAGAGGGCGGGTGGGCATTCAAGACTGGGCAGGCTGTGGGGGTGTGGGGTGGGGGCTCGGAGGGCTCACCCAGGGTCTCGATGACCACACCTGGGATGACCTCCTTCAGGACCTCACAGTTGGTGTGCAGGGCTGGGTTGGAATTCATCTCCAGCAGCCATACCTGCACCAGACGCCAGTCAGACCCTCCCCACCCAGAGCCCACTGGGCCAGCAGGGCAGAGGCCCTGGTCCTTATTCGGCCAGGTGGCTCTGGGAGATTGCTTCCTTTCTATAGCCTCGCTCCCCTGTTTGTCCACTGAAACTCTGAGGGTCTGAAGCTCTGGCCTGAGGGGCTGCCCTGAGGAGGGGGTGCAGGTCCGTCCCAGCTGCATAGGAGGTGAGCCTCGTGGATACATCCATCCCCAGGGCTGCATGCAGGCAGGGTGGGGGCTGACTGCAGAGTCTGCCTGGGGCCTGCCAGTGTGGTTGGGGTGTGCACATGGCCCCTGCCTCCTTGCATCTGCCTCCCGTGCCCCCGCCCCCCAGGACAGCACCTTGAAGTTGTCATCAATCAGGAAGTCACAGCCGATGAGGTCAAAGTAACCCAGCTTGCACTCCAGCTTGGACTTGGCGGCCAGAAAGCAGTGGGCCATGATCTGTTGCATCCGCTTCTGCAGGGAGACAGGGAGGCATCCTGGCTGCGGCCTGTAGGCCCTGATCACACCCCAGGTCTGAAGAGCCACAGCCACATCCCTCACCGGCACTCCCATCTGAACCCACACTTGTACAACCACACCTGCCCACACGTTCGTGCACTCAGGATCACAGGCTCACAGCCAGAAACTCAGTCAACAAAATCCTGGAGCTCCTGCCCTGTGCCAGGCCCTGGAGATACATGAGTGAGCAAAACTCACAAGAAATCTCTGCCCTGGAGCAGTTCTTTCATAGCAGAAGAGACGGATAGCAAATGGGATACATAAAATCTCGAATCTTGGTAGGAACGGTGAATTTTGTCGTTTTTTAATGTGCTCTGGTTTTATCCTCTGCTGCCCAGCTCAGCTGTAGCCTCAAAAAACAACAGCGTGCATCCCCAGAACTGGAGATAGAAAAATAGACCTCATTTATGAAAAAAATTGTAATTATTTGTTTTCTTGTGTCTGGTAGTTCTTTGGAAGATCCCACTTGAAAGGACTAACAGAAAGTATGAGGGGCGGGTGTGTGGCTCACACCTGTAGTCCCAGCATTTTGGGAGGCCGAGGCAGGAGGATCACTTGAGCTCAGGAGTTTGAGACCAGCCTAACCAACATGGTGAAACCCCATCTCTACTAAAAATACAAAAATTGGCCGGGCGCATAGCTCACACCTGTAGTCCCAGCACTTTGGGAGGCCAAGGCGGGAAGATCACTTGAGCTCAGGAGTCTGAGATCAGCCTGGGCAATAAAGCGAGACCTTAGCTCTACAAAAAAATTAACAAAATTAGCTAAGCATGGTGGTGTGTGCCTGTAGTCCCACCTGCTTGGGAGGCTGAGGTGGGAGGACTGCTTGAGCCCAAGAGGCAGAAGCTGTGGTGAGCTGAGATTGTGCCACTGCACTCTAGCCTGGGTGACACAGTGAGACTGTCTAAAAAAAAGAAATATGAGGATGATGTCTCATCAAATAATAGAGAATATCGGTGAAGAGAGAAAAATTTTAAAAGAGAATCAAATAGAAATTCTGAAGTTGAAAAGTAGAACAAATAAAAAATTCACTAGGGCTCAACAGCAGATTTGAGTTGTTTGCAGATAGGCCAATTGAGATTTCGTCTGAGGAACAGAAAGAAGAAAGAGGCCGGGCGCAGTGGCTTCACGCCTATAATCCCAGCACTTTGGGAGGCCAAGGCAGGTGGATTGCTTGAAGTCAGGAGTTTGAGACCAGCCTGGCCAACACGGTGAAACCTCATCTGTACTAAAAATACGAAAATTAGCCTGGTGTGGTGGTGTGTGCCTGTAGTCCCAGCTACTTGGGAGGCTGGTAGGCCAGACGATTGCTGGCGCCCAGGAGGAGGAAGCTGCAGTGAGCTGAGATCGCACCACTGCACTCCATCTTGGGTGACAGAGACCCTGTCTCAAAACAAAAGAAGAAAGAAAGAGAGAGAGAAGAAAAACAAAGTCTCAGAGGCTTGTGGGTGGGACACCATCAAATGGACTAACATATGCATAATGAGAGTCTCAGAAGGAGAGAAGAGAAAGGAGCAGAAACAATATTTGAAAAAATAACGGCTGAAAACCTCCCAATTTAATGAAAAACAACCAACACATTCAAGAAGCTAAATGAACTCAAAGTAGGATAAACTCAGAGATCCACCACCTCATCAGCAAACTTCCAAAAGACAGAGAACGTCGAAATCAGCAGGAGAGAAGCAGCTTGTCATGTACGAGGCATCCACAGAAAGATGACCAGTTTCTCATCAGAGGTCATGAGGTGGGCAGGCGGTGGGATGACATATTCAAATTACCGAAAGGAAAAATACTGTTGACCAAAAATTCTACATCTAGCAAAAGCTGCTTCAAAAATGAAGGGGAAATTAAGACATTTCCAGATAAACAAAAGCAGAGGCCAGCCTGCCCTACAGTCCTTCAGGCCGAAACGAAAGGACATTAGACAGTAACTTGAATTCATGGCTGGAAATAAAGAGCCTCGGTAAAGGTCATTGTGTAATTAAATAAGAGACAGCATAAATGTATTTTTGTATGTGATTGTCTTCTCCTAAAAGACAACTGTATACAACAATAATTATGAGTCCATGTTGACGGACACAAACACACCCCTCTGTAATTTCTGGCAATAGCGTAAGGGAGGGGTGGGGCTGTGTAGAAGCAGTGTTTTTGTATACTTTTGAAATTAACTTGGTATTAATAAAAACTGAATTGTTTATTTTAAAACACTTTTTATTTTAGAAACAGGGTCTTGCTGTGCCCCTAGGCTGGGGTACAGTGGTTTGACTGCGGCTCGCTGCAGCCTTGACCTCCTGGGCTCAAGTGATACTCCCATCTCAGCTCCCCGAGTAGCTAGGACCACAGGTGCACACCACCATGCTGACCTAATTTTGTGTTTTAGAGATGGAGTCTCAGACTCCTGGCCTCATGTGATCTTCTTGCCTCAGCCTCCCAAAGCACTGGGATTACAGGCATAAGCCACCAGACTCACCCTAATTGTAGTAAATTAAGATATGATATTAATGGCAATCCTCAGAATAACCACTAAAATAACTCAAAAACATATAGTAAAAGAAATGACAAGTTAATAAAAATGCTACACTAAGCCGGACGTGGTGGCTTATGCCTGTAATCCCAGCACTCTGAGGGGCTGAAGCGGGTGGATCACCTGAGGTCAGGAGTTTGAGAAAAGCCTGGCCAACATAGTGAAACTCCATCTCTACTAAAAATACAGAAAATTAGCTGGGCGTGGTGGCAGGCGCCTATAAATCCCAGCTACTAGGGAGGCTGAGGCAGGAGAATCGCTTGAATCCGGGAGGTGGAGGTTGCAGTGAGCTGAGATCACGCCATTGCACTCCAGCCTGGGCAACAAGAGTGAAACTCTGTTTCAAAAAAAAAAAAAAAAAGTTACACTAGAAAATATCTCTCTAAAACAATAGGAGGCAGTAATGGAAAAATTGAGGAACAAAAAAGACATAAGACAAAGAAAACAAATAACAAAATAGCGTATGTAAATCCTACCTTATCAGTAATTATATTAAATGTAAGTGAATTAAACTTTCCAATTAATAGACATTGACGGGGTGCATTAAAAAACATGATATACCATCTACAAAAGATACTTTAGTTTCAGAGACAAAAATAGGTGGAAAGTAAAGGGATGGAAAAAGATATACCATGCAAATGGTAACCAAAGTAGAACTGGAGTGGCTCTACTAATATCAAAGAAAATAGAGTTTACCACAAAAATTATTACTACAGAGTAAAAGAAAAGTTTTATAATGATAAACCAAGAAGATCTAATAATCATAAACATACACGAACCCAACAACAGAACCTTAAAACATACAAAGCCAAAAACTGACAGATCTGGAGGGAGAAACAGACAAATGGACAACTGAATATCCCACTTTCAGTACAGAGACAGAAGACTAACAAGTGAATAGAAAACTTGAACAACATGATAAACTAAACAGACCTAACAGACACCCACAGAACCCTCCACCCAAAGGCAGGACACACACCCACAGGACCCTCCACCCAAAGGCAGGACATACATCCTTCCCCAGTGCACATGGATATTCTCCAGGAGAGACCATATGCTGGGCCACAAACAAGTTTCAAGTGGTTTTTGTTTTTGTTTTTGTTATTTTTTTCTCTTTTTTTTTTGTTTTCGAGACACAGGCATGCTCCGTCGCCCAGGCTGGAGTGCTGTGATCCGCCCGTCACGGCCTCCCAAAGTGCTGGGATAACAGGCGTGAGCCACCGCGCCCAGCCTATTTTTTTTTTTTTTTTTTTTTTGAGACGGAGTCTCGCTCTGTCGCCCAGGCTGGAGTGCAGTGGCCGGATCTCAGCTCACTGCAAGCTCCGCCTCCCGGGTTTACGCCATTCTCCTGCCTCAGCCTCTCTGGTAGCTGGGACTACAGGCGCCCGCCACCTCACCCGGCTAGTTTTTTGTATTTTTTTTTTTTTTTTTTAGTAGAGACGGGGTTTCACCATGCTAGCCAGGATGGTCTCGATCTCCTGACCTCGTGATCTGCCCGTCTCGGCCTCCCAAAGTGCTGGGATTACAGGCTTGAGCCACCGCGCCCGGCCTGTTTTTGTTTTTTTAATGATTCACTTAATTAATAGTAAGTTTGTTTGTTGTTTTTTTAAAGATGGGGTTTTGCTATGTTGCCCAGGCGGGACTCAAACTCCTGGGCTTAAGCAACGTTTCCATCTCAGCCTCCTGAGGACCTGGGATCCCAGGTATGTGCTGCCACACCAGCTCCAACAATTCTTCAATGCTTTTTAAAGGGTTGAAATAATGAAGTATGTTCTCTGACACAATGGAATGAAATTAGAAGTCAATAACCGAAGGAAAACTGGAAAAATCACAAATATGTGGAAATTAAATAACATGCTCTTATGCAACTAATGGGTCAAAGAAAAGCTCACAAAGGAAACTTAAAAATACTTTGAGGTAGGCCGGGTGCGGTGGCTCAAGCCTGTAATCCCAGCACTTTGGGAGGCCGAGACGGGCGGATCACGAGGTCAGGAGATGGAGACCATCCTGGCTAATACGGTGAAACCCCGTCTCTACTAAAAAAATAACAAAAATTTAGCCGGGCGTGGTGGCGGCGCCTGTAGTCCCAGCTACTCCGGAGGCTGAGGCAGGAGAATGGCGTGAACCCGGGAGGCGGAGCTTGCAGTGAGCCGAGATCACGCCACTGCGCTCCAGCCTGGGCGACAGAGCGAGACTCCATCTCAAAAAAAAAAAAAAAAAAAAAAAAACTTTGAGGTTAAGTGTCGTGGCTCATGCCTATAATCCCAGCACTTTGGGAGGCCGAGGCAGGCGGATCACCTGAGGTCAGCAGTTCAAGACCAACCTGGCCAACATGGTGAAACCCCATGTCTACTAATAATACAAAAAAAATTAACTGGGCGTGGTGGCGTGTGCCTGTAATCCCAGCTACTCGGGAGGCTGAGGCAGGAGAATTGCTTAAACCTGGGAGGCGAGGTTGCAGTGAGCTGAGATTGCACCATTACACTCTGGCCTGGGTGACAAGAATGAAACTCCATCTCAAATAAAATAAAATAAAATATAAAAATAAAAATACTTGGAGACAACACGCAAAATCTTATGGATGCATCAAAAGTGGTGGTCATGGGGAAATTCACAGCACTAAGCACCTACCTTAAGCAAGAAGAAAAAATTGAAATCAAAACCTAACTTTTGACCTTAAGAAATTAGAAAAAGAGGGTTTGAGACGGGCCTGGCCAGCAAAGTGAAACCCCGTCTCCACTAAAAACACAAAAAAATTACCCGGGAGCGGTGGCGCGTGCCTATACTCCCAGCGACTCGGGACTCCATCTCAAAAAAAAAAAATTAGAAAAAGGAGAGCAAACAAAACCCCAAGCAAGCAGTAAGAAGGAAATAATAAAGACTTGAGTGGAAATAAATGGAATAGAAAACAGTAGAGAAAAAAATCAGTGAAACCAGGAGTTGGTTCATTGAAAAGATCAACAAAATTGATAAAGCTTTAGACAGACTGACCAAAAAGGAAAAAAAAAGGGAGAGAATAATCAAATTACTAAAATCAGGGGAAAAAGACTTTATATTGATTAAAAGGATGACAAGGGAATACTATGTACACTAAACAAAGTAGATAACCTAGAAGAAATGGACAAATTCTTTTTTTTTTTTTTTTTTTGAGATGGAATCTGGCTCTGTCGCCCAGGCTGGAGTGCAGTGGCACAATCTCGGCTCGCTACAAGCTCTGTCTCCCGGGTTCACGCGATTCTCCTGTCTCAGCCTCCCGAGTAGCTGGGACTACAGGCACCGCCACCACGCCCGGCTAATTTTTTTAGTTTTTAGTAGAGACAGGATTTCACAGTGTTAGCCAGGATGGTCTTGATCTCCTGACTTCATGATCCACCCACCTCGGCCTCCCAAAGCGTTGGGATTACAGGCATGAGCCACCATGCCCCGTGAAATGGACAAATTCTTAAAAAAAAAACAAACCAGACTACTGTAATCCCAGCACTTTGGGAGGCCGAGGCGGGCGGATCAGGAGGTCAGGAGATCGAGACCATCCTGGCTAACATGGGGAAACCCCATCTCTACTAAAAATACAAAAAATCAGCTGGGAGTGGTGGCACTCGCCTGTAGTCTCAGCTACTTGGGAGGCTGAGGCAGGAGAATCACCTGAACCCGGGAGGCAGAGGTTGCAGTGAGCCGAGATCGCGCCATCGCACTCCAGCTTGGGCGACAGAGTGAGACTCCATCTTCAAAAAAAAAAAAAAAAAAAAAAGAAAAGAAAAAAAAAAAGAAAAACAAACCAGACCAGGCTAAAGATTAGAAAATCTGAATAGACCTATAACAGGAAAAGATTGCAGTAGTATTAGTAATAATAATAATAATAAACTTTCCTACAAAGAAAAACCCAGGTGGCTTTACTGTTGAATTATTCCAAACAAAGAATTAACACCAATCCTTCACAAAGACTCCAAAAATAAAAGAGGAAGAACACATCCTAACATGCTGTGAGGCAAGTGTTACCTTAATACCAACCCAGTCAAAGATATTCATGAAAAGAACGCTACAGACCAATATTGTTTATAAGCACAGACACAAAAATCCTCATTAAAATACTAGCAAACCAAATCCCGCAGCATATTTACATTTAAATGGTTCAATACTATCATCACGTGAGGTTTGTCATATGAAAGTTAATCAGGCCGGGCGCAGTGGCTCATGCCTGTAATCCCAGCAATTTGGGAGGCTGATGGGGGGCGGATCACGAGGTCAGGAGATCGAGACCATCCTGGCTAACACGGTGAAACCCCGTCTCTACTAAAAAATACAAAAAACTAGTCGGGCATGGTGGCGGGCGCCTGTAGTCCCAGCTACTCGGGAGGCTGAGGCAGGAGAATGGCATGAACCCGGGAGGCGGAGCTTGCAGTGAGCCGAGATCTGGCCACTGCACTCCAGCCTGGGCGACAGAGCCAGACTCCGTCTCAAAAAAAAAAATCTTGAAGAACACACACATACATGGAGCTGATAAGTGAATTCAGCAAAGTTGTAGGATACAAGATCAACACACAAAAATCAGTTTTATTTTTATACACTAGCAATGGACAATCCAAAAAGGAAATTTAAAAAATAATTCTATTCACAAGTGCCAAAATAATAAAATACCTAGGAATAACATTTACCCTCGGTGACAGACTTGTATGCTGAAAACTACAAAGCATTGCTGAAAGAAAGAGAAGAAGACCTAGAAAAATGGAAAGGCATCCTATATTCATAGATCAGAAAACTAAATATTGTTAAGATGTCATTACTATGTGACCTACCGATTCAACGCAATGCCTATTAAAATTTCGATGAGGCTGGGTGCAGTGGCTCACACCTGTAATCCTAGCACTTTGAGAGGCCAAAGTGGGCAGATCGCCTGAGGTCAGGAGTTTGACACTAGTCTGGCCAACATGGTGAAACCCAGTCTCTGCTAAAAATACAAAAATTAGCCAAGCATGGTGGTGGGTGCCTGTAATCCCGGCTACTAGGGAGGCTGGGGCAGGAGAATCTCTTGAACCTGGGAGGCGAGGTTGCAGTGAGCTGAGATTGGGCCACTGCACTCCAACCTGGGTGACGGAGCAAGACTCCGCCTCAAAACAACAACAACAAAAAAAACCCTTTACAACTGGACAATAAAGACCGGCCACAGCGTTTGAATAGACATTTCTCTAAAGCATATACACAGCTGGCCAGTGAACACACGAAGTTATTTGTCATTAGCAAAATGGAAATCAAGCCCACAATGAGGTAACCCTGCACCCAGACTGGACGGTGACTGTTTTAACAAAGAAAGGAAAATAACAAGTGTTGGCAAGATCTGGAGAAACTGGAAAAGTGGTTCATGGTTAAGTTAAAGTGTGTTACCCTGTGACCCCACGACTCCATTCCTGGGTACTTTCCCAGGAGAACTGAAAATATATGTTCATACAAACAGCATTTCATAATAGATCAATAATAAAACTCAGCGTCCACCAACTGATGACAAAATATGGTCCATCCATATGAAGGAATGTTGTATGAAAGGGGTACATGGCTGGGCGCAGTGGCTCACACCTGTAATCCTAGCACTTTGGGAGGCTGAGGCGGGCAGATCACGAGGTCAGGAGATTGAGACCGGCCTGGCCAACATGGTGAAACCCCGTCTATACTAAAAATACAAAAATTAGCTGGGCGTGGTGGCTCACGCCTGTAATCCCAGCTTCTTGGGAGGCTGAGGCAGGAGAATCGCTTGGACCCGGGAGGTGGAGGTTGCAGTGAGCTGAGATTGTGCCATTGCACTCCAGCCTGGGCGACAGAGTGAGACTGTCTCAAAAAAAAGAAAAGAAAAGAAAAGAAAAGAAAAGAGAAGAGAAGAGAAGAGAAGAGAAGAGAAGAGAAGAGAAGAGAAGAGAAGA